TTTTTACAGCAAGTTATCAAACCACAGTGTAGATAAATCATCTTCAGTCCCATAATTCCATGGTTTTTTTTCTGTCTGTGTTTGTTTACAGGATCTTGGCCACGGTGGGTTCAGACTTCGACCTGAGGACGCTGCGAGCGGTCAGAGTGCTGCGACCCCTGAAACTGGTGTCAGGAATCCCCAGTAAGTCCATCAGTCAGCATGTGGAGGTGGTCAGATGCTGAGGACAGAGCAGACTGTGGGAATGTGACACAAAAGGAAATAAAGGAGAGGATTATCTTTGTCCCGCCATTTGAACGTAGTTAAACACCTGATTACATTCCATTTCTCTCGTCTCTCCGTCCGTCTCAGGTCTCCAGGTGGTGCTGAAGTCCATCATGAAAGCCATGGTTCCTCTGCTGCAGATCGGCCTGCTGCTCTTCTTCGCCATCGTCATGTTTGCCATCATCGGGGTGGAGTTCTACATGGGCAAATTCCACACCACCTGCTTCAGGATCGACACCGGTGAGAGCAACAGCTTTTATCGGATTATCAGCCCAGTTGGCGCCAGAAAAACTTCTCCTCCTTTTTCTCTCAGCTGTGTTCCTGGTACAGATGAGAACTTGCATTTCGTTGCATATTCATATCAGCGAGCAAAAAGGACTCACAGTCGTGTATGAACTCGTAGCTGCAGTTTCTCGGCGCCGATACCAACGTAGCAAACAAGCAGAATTTCTGACAGCCATTTTTCACGTGTTGATTTTGATGAATGGCGTTTTCACAGCGTTCGGGCTCTGATTGATGGTTCCTGCTGTAACTCAATAGAGATGCTTTTGCTCTCGACCCCCCGATCGAATGCGAACTCGGATTGAGGTTAATGAGGTTGTAATTTACCCGTTTCATTTCTCTAATGCTTCACAAGTGCGTGTTACTGGGGGTAGCTTCTGCTTTGTAGCTTTTTAAGCTTTATTTCTACACATACTATAATAATTATTTAACATTTTCCAACATATGCTGAAGAGTTTTACACTTTTGCATTTCGTTCAAGAGGCTGTTTTTATTATATTATTTTTGCATGAAAATCAAATCTTGAGGTTTGACTGTTTAAACCTCTGCAGATTAGTTATTGTCTGTGAAAACTGCACGTTGATACAGCTGACGTACAGATGTATTTGAAAAGTGTGCAAAAAAACAACTAAGTTAGTGACACGCTTTATGTTAGTGGTCCTGAAGTTTACTAGAAAGTTTCCATTATTTTTTATTACTGATTAAATGGATGATAAATAATCTTTTCCTGCTATTTCACTGAGTTCTAAATGAAAGCTGCAGTAGGCAAACACCTGGAAAAGGCAAAAAACAAACTAATACACAAACAACCAACGCCAAGCAAAGTCAAGTGTGACGGCTCGTGCTCAGTGACTGTGAGGGCGGACCCACAACGAAAAGGAAGGCAGGAGGAAAAAGGTTAAAGCTACAAGTTTTATTTACAAGGGGGGAATATGGGGAATAACCAGGTGACGGGATCTGGTGCAGGGATGCCAGTCGTGGTGAAGGAGGAGTGGGGGTCTTCTGTGCCGAGGTCCGTGAAGGAGGGTTCCGAGGGTGGTGCGAGGAGGTCCGGTGCTCGTGTGTGCTTTCGTCCGTGGAGGTTTTCCTGGTGCAGAGAGGGAGCCGTGAAGAGGGATAACCAGGGCGGTGCGCAGAGGTCCGGTGCTCGTGGTACGGTGCTCGTGGGTGGTTGCTCTCGTGGAGGTTCTCCCAGTGAAGGTGCTCGTGATCGTGGGTTCCCATGATGAAGGTTTCGTGGGTGCAAACGCTGGTGTGCCAGGTAGAGTGCTGGGTGCTGGAGCCGAGGAGGGACACTGGAGACAGGCAGAGAAAAACACACTACAAGCTCGAAAACTAGAGAACATCTACAACACTAGAAATGCTTCAGCGAAGTGTAGCAGCTCGCGGCCTGACTGTACCACTTGGTAGGTATCACAGTCATCTGGCGCTGGAGTCCTGTGAGATGTTCGTATTTGAAAGGAGGACCAGCTGATGAGCTGATGAGCCACAGCTGCCAGAGCGAGAACGTCCTTCTCCGACCGGCTCCGCCCAGCCTGCAGAGAAAAGAGAGGCACGCCCACCAAGACACCAAGACAGAGAAAAAACAACAACTCCACAAATGCTTCACAGCCCTCACGTCAAGCATCATACAACAATCCGAATTGAGCATTAAGTCCTGCAGTCTGAACGTAGCCAATCTGTGGGATTGTTCAGTCAGATAATACGCCGTTATCCTGATTGGTGACATAAAATGTCATGTCGGAGTCGGAATCCAAGGCTGTCGGTATGTTAAGGCTGTTTTCTATGGGCAAGGTTTTCGGATTGTTAAGGGTCGGACTATCAAGTCACGACTGTATTTAGAAATACACAAATACTTGGTTTAATGACTGCTGATAGATTATCAAACATCTGAGAATGGATAGAAAGGCACCAGTTTGTAACGGTGTGACTGATTCAGGCCAGATAGCTGAAAATGTGGACAGAGTAAAGCTCAGTGTACTGGAGAGGAGTCGTGTGAATACATTCATCTTCTCTTTAAAAAGACACAACACCCAAACCTCTGTTCCTTTTTAAAGTGTGGCGCTACCAGGCAGACACAACACAGAGCCTCCTCCCGTGTGTGTGAGCTAGCACAGCTCCCCGACAACATCTCTGATAAATGAACGCCTGGCGACTGTTGCCGACTTGTTATTACACTACAGCATTATAGTAATTATAGGAAACAGTCAGGGTGCTTGGCTCAAATTACCCATCGCGTAATGCAGTGATAAAAAATTACGAGGAGGCTTTATTTCCCCGCTGCTGGTGTCAGATAGAGTGTGAAGCCGTGACTTCAGGGTTGTCGGTTGGACCAGATGTAGGATCAGTGTGGATGTGTGTGTGCATTTCAACCCGTTAAGTGTGTTTGTAGAGTTGTGACAGCCCGCTAATGTGCAGAATGTGTGTTTTTGAGTTATTTTGGTCAAAGGGACGCAGCAGGGTTTGATTAATATGAGGGCGGCTGTATTGTTTTTGCTCTTTGTGTGTTTGCACGAGTGACTTATAAGCAGGTAATGCTGCATAATAATGATGAGAATCTTGTGTTTGTGAAGCTCCTTTCAGACATTTGCTCCCCTTAATTAATCTGACAGCATCTGGACTTGTCAGATTCCTGTCAGAATGAGCAACCTGCAGTCTCACCAGGTTGGATCTGCTGACGTTTCTCTGTCACTTTCAACAAAGCACAAGTGTGAATTTCATGCAGTTGCAAAGACACGCACAAATGGTGCACTTCAAGTTGTGTAAAGTGATTTAGAGAAGGCTTTTTCTGCATTTTGGCACCAAGGTTGGTCCAAAAGCATCACAGAGAACAAAAGACACATGTTTCTCATTCCCTTTGCGCCACAGTTTCACATCTATTAGGCTACAAACTGTAATGTCCATAAAAATAACATTTGACTAGAGTCTGTAACGGGTCAGATTAATGACATTCACTACTAATAAATGGAAACAGGAGCTGAAGTTTAGTTTGTTGCTTCCAACTGTTTGGGATTACTTCCTCTGAGTTTATCAATTGAATTTCCCTTCTGGGATAAATAAAGTATTTTTCATTTCATTTCATCAAATACCTGCAAACAGCAGCAGGATCCAGATGAGCATTTTCAAAAATAAGGGAGTGTGTGGAGGAACAGTATTAGCTTTTTTGTCTAACTAATTATAATAATGACTTGTCCCCAACCCCTCACTTCTGACAGGTGAGCTGATACACAGAGTCACAGTTTATCAGCTGCAGTTGAATCTTTTGTTTTCAGCTTGAGCTCCAGCACAGCTTTCCAAATACTTCTGTTTTACTGTTAGTAAAGCAGTCGCAAGATTGTATGTTTGTACTGCAAAAGGTCAAGATGTTTGGTTGCAACGGTGATGGCAGCGCACATAGAGGCAGTGGCCACTTCAGGAGACAACGAAAGTGAACGTTTTGAGTGTCTTGTCTATCACAGACGTTCATTCCGCAACACTTGCGGCCGCTTTGCTGGGCGTCAGGACAGTGGACAGCGCTGGAATTGCAGCGATCGGTTGTGATCTGGACATACTACACCAACATGGAGTCCAATTGGAGACAACGCCGGCAGTTACCCGAGAGAGAAGGAAGCACAAACGGTATGAATGTAAACAAAAGAGGAGGAGGAAGAGAGCCGGGAGCCATGCTAAGCTAAAGGCTAACCCCTCCAGACCAGCAGGACTGTCCTCCTATTCTCCAATGTCTGCTCCCTCAACAACAAGCTGGATGAGCTACGTTTGCTGGGAGAAACCCTCAGAGAGTGGAGGGACTGCTGAGTGTCTGCTTTAACAGAAACATGGCTCCATGACAACAACCCAGACGGACATAGAACTGGAGGAGACGACATCGTTCTGCGTGGACAGACAGACAGACAGCTCTGGGCAGCATCTGTGGCTTCTCCATCATCACACCATCGTGTGTGTCTTTGTGTCCCTGAAGACCTACCAGGACCTGAAGAGGTTCGCCATGTTCAACGAGTGGCGGCGCGCATGGAGGTAGCGCCCCCTTCAGGAGGCGGCGAGAGTGAACGTTTAGTGTCTTATCCCAGACGTGCATTCTGTAAAACTTGCTGGTTGAATGATCCTGAAGAAACGCTCTCTCATCTCGCCTGTACTACTGCGTATGTACAGCAACATGACAATAAACCTGATTTGATTTGATTTGATGTAAAAAGTCAAGCAGGCTGCGACAGCTTGAGCTGCAGGTGTCAACTGCTTCATCAACCCGGTGTTTAAGTTTGACTCCGTCTTGCTTTGACTTTTTTCCACACATGAATACTTCTCCTTTGTGCAGCCACTGTTGGCTGATGTTTCCCTACAAACCATCTGGGACGCTGTTCAACACATCAGTTTGATGCGGCTGCTCATTTTGACTCTCAAACAAGGTTTACCAATATTAGGGGTTTTTTATCGTCACTTCGAGAGCAAATGTTGTAGCTTGAACAGCGGGTGGGCTCCAGTCAGAATAACACTGATAATCTAACAAACATGTCCGTGAAGATTCTCAGTCATCCAGGTCATGGTTATTCTCATAGATCAGATTAACTCCCAACTCGTCAGTCAGAACTGATGAAGCCTCTTGGACGAGAGGTGAAATGTCTTCAAGGAGCTCAAGAAAGACCAGTTGCTACGATTAAACTACGAGAATCTAACAAAACGTACAACAAAAAAACTCACCTGAAGTCCTCCAGCCTTTGTTTCATTCGTGTCTAAGAGCACCGTGAGGGGAGAGATCTGATCACCGTTTAAACCAGCTGAGTCAGCTTCTTCTCAGAAAGCAAAGCTTTCTTACTGCGCTGATCATCATGATTGGACAGTTTGATACGCTTACTTATTTAAAATTTAGTCTTTTGTTTATAATTGCGATATGATTCAATGCACTTTGCAATCTCACATGTACAGTCGTCCTCAAATGTATTCAGACCCTTCCATTGAAGAAA